TGTTTATTTGACGGACCAGCTTACAGCACAACTTCCACAAGAGCCCATGATCGTGAGAGAGAGGAAGAACCTACTGCGCATGCTCACGCATGTACTCGCGTATACCAATGCTAAGCTGTCATATTACATCCCCCTTTCTAATTATAACAAACAATCGTGAGTTGGGTGGATGTCTAATACTGTTACACATCTACTTGATATGTTTTATTTTATCTACGGCTGTATTAACGAAACAAAATATTGCATTGTCCAATGTTCATGTCGTACTAAAATAACTAACTCAATGTCACAGTATTAATCTACTGAAGCAGTACAGGGTGTGTGCATCAACCGATTCAAAGATCAAGGCGATCAGGTTTCACACTTATCCTACCAGAGCGTGTGCGGTTTGATGTATCAGATGCCTGTACATCTCTGCCTGAGCCTTTTGGCTCACACGTGCTCTCGGCTGGCTTCGGGATCCGATTAGGGATCAGATCTTTCATTCCATCTTGGAAGTGAACTCTTTTCGGTACCCATGGAGTCTCACGTAACTGTTTCCGATTCCTCCTAAGGATACCTCCATTTGGGGTTTCAACCATGTACGATCTGGGCTCTAGACACTTTTCAATCACCTTAGCGGGTGACCAATGTCCACTATTGTGATCCTGTAGTGTGACAAACTGCCCTGGACACAAGGGAGGTAAGTCTTTTGTACCAGTTCTATCATGGTAGTGCTTCTGAGTGTCTTGTCTCTGTTTGAGACGTTCCTGTACCTTATCTGGGTCATGTGTCGTCCACTGGCTGGGTGTCACCTTGATAGGAAGATTGCTGACCACTTTCCGATTGAACATAAGTTCCGCCGGACTTGGTAAGTGGTTGTCAATCGGTGTTGTTCGGGCGCACAGCATGGCAAGATCTGGATCAGTTTTGCTTTCTCTTGCCTTTTGGAGGATTTCCTTCACTGTCCGTACATTACGCTCGATGAACCCATTGGATCTAGGGTACCTCGGACTGCTAGTCACATTGTCAATGTTCCATGATTTCAAGAACTGGTTAAATTCTGCCGAAGAGAATTGAGGACCGTTGTCACAAATAATCCGCTCGGGTCGTCCGAACTCGGAGAGTATCTGTTTCACAATCTTTACCACTGCTCCCGATGTGCTTGCTCCTTGGATTTGTCGTACAACTGGATACTTTGTATAGTAGTCAGCAAGGAGCAGGTATTCTGCATTTCCAAAGTGAAACAAGTCTGTTCCCAATGTCTGCCACGGACGGGTTGGGATCTCGTGAGGTTGCAGTTTCTGCTGCTTGACTTGGTTTGTGTGTCTGACATGGTTCACACCGTGACACTAGTTTTTCTATGTCACTGTTGATACCAATCCAGTATACACAAGTTTTAGCTCTGAGTTGGCATTTTGTTATGCCCTGATGGCCTACGTGAATCTGCTCCAAGATATACTTTTGACCTACGTGAATCTGCTCCAAGATATACTTTTGCATGGTTTTCGGGATCACCAGCCTTTCCCCCTTCATAACCACACCATTCTCGATGCTTAGTTCATCTCTGAAGGGCCAATAGGGTTTGAGCGGTGTTAGTACACTCCGTCTCTCGCTGGGCCAGCCGGCCGCAACTATGTCCCGCAAGGGGCAGTTTCGTCTTCCCTAGTCTCCTTCTGCATTTCCTGTACTTTGGAAGTAGAGAACTGCACGAAGCTTACTTTCACGTCCAAGTCGATGGTTTCCTTTTTTGCTTCATTAGGTTGCCTTGACAAGCAATCAGCCAGCAGCATTTCGCGACCGGGTCTATATTTTATGACGAGGTCATACCCCTGGAGATGCAATAGCATGCGTTGAAGTCGCGGTGGTGCTGACGTTAGGTTCTTGAGGGAGCTCCCAAGCCTTTTGTAGAGGTGTCCACTTGCAGGACTGTTTCCTTTGTCGGATTGAAGTATGCAAGTGTAGTGCTCTTGCAGATAAGATGCTTGGTCTTCTCGTAGGCCTGCTGATATGTGCTTGTCCACTCAAAGGTGCTGTCCTTCCTGAGGAGCAGGTGTAAAGTTGCGGTATGGTTTGCCAACTTCGGTATGAATGGCGACATATATGTAGCCAGTCCAAGGAATTCCTGCAGGGTTGTTCTGTCTGTCGGCGGAATCATGGCTTGGATGTCCTCTAGCTTCGCTGGGTCTGGGTGTGCTCCTTGTTGGTCATATGTCATTCCGAAGAATGTGATGGATGGAACAGCGATCTCACATTTGCTGCTGGTAAACATGAGACCACGTTCGTTTGCGACTCTCATCAGTTTGTGTAGAACTTCATCATGTTTTTCATGCGTTTCCGCATATACGGCTATATCGTCTGATATTCCGAGTACGCCGTCACCAACTTGCTCGAGTATGAAGTCCATGTGCCGCTGGAACACATCCTGGGACATGACTAGACCGAATGGACATCGCCGGAAGCAGTATCGTCCAAACGGTGTGTTAAAGGGCGTCAAGACCTGTGATTCCTCGTCGAGTTTAATCGACCAGTATCCATTCTTTGCATCCAGCTTGGAGAAGACTCGTGCTCCATTGAAGCGATGTGTTATCTCTTCAAGTGTTGGTGTTTTGTGATGACATCTCAGGATGGCTCGATTCAAGTCTTTTGGATCTAAGCATATCCGTAGGCTTCCATCCACTTTGCGACTGTATGCTAATGAGCTAACCCACTCTGTCGGCTCTATGACCTTTCGGATTACTCCTTGTTGCTCCATAGCATCTATCTGTGATTTGATTTCATCCTTTAGCTGTATCGGAGTTTTCCGAGGTGCATGGACAACTGGAGGAATATTCGGATCCAAGGTGATATGGTACTCACCAGGGAAGTTTCCTATCTTGTCAACCTGACCTGGGTACTGTCTCGTCAGATCCCCAGTTGAGCGTATAGGTGGTAGGCATGCTTTCGTTCCTATTTTTGGATTAGTCGATAGGGCACAGTGTACCGTCACTAGTTTCAATGCACGTGACGATGGTAATCCCAGTAGTGCACTCCCGTCACATTCTACTATGAAGAAATCTGCCAATGTGCGATTTCCATTGTGATAGCAGGGTATCTTGGTAGAACCAAAGTGCTTGATTTCACCTTTGTTGTAGGCAGTGAGACGTATTGAATTTTGTTTGACTCAACTGACTAGTGGGAAACCTTCGGAGTCAAGTAACTTCGGGAACATACGTCGATATATGCGCAATGGGAGTGTGTTGCCCTGGGCGCCTGTGTCTACTTTCACCTTTAACGTTGTCTTCGCATTTTTGTGATCTGGTAGTTCGATACCAATGTCAGTGAAGATTTCATCACGCTTATCTCCATTTGTCTCAGTAGCGTCGATGTGTGTTATCGAGCTAATCTCCAAGGAAGAAAAGCTGAGATTTTCTAACTGATCATTCATGGCGTCCAGTTCCTCATTGTGCCGAAGGTGGTCCACCCTTGCACATGGCCTGTTCTGGCTGCGACCTCGGTTCTGTTGTCGAGACCTACTGTCATGTGACCTTGACCTGCTTCTTCCCCATGATTGGTTGCTGCGTGATTTGTGTCGATTTTTGCTCATGCAGAACTGTGACCAATGATTGGACTTGTCACAGGAAGAACAGATAGAACCGTACGCTGGGCACTTTCTTGGGGGATGTCGCCTACCACAATTTCTGCATGCCTTCGAGCTTTGAAATTGTTTCTTAACATACATGACTGATGCTGTGGCGCTGTCTTCATCGACGGCCTTTAGCTTCTGCATATTGGCGAGTGTTGCCTCAAATGACCTTCCCACTGTGATAGCCGTCTCCAAGTTCATCTCTTTATCTTGTCTCAAGAACTCTTTTTGAAGTTCGGGATGACGTACACCATAGATGAGTTGGTCAATGATTCTGTCACTTGTTACTGCAGCGTCTGCAAACCCACATTTCTGTGCCTGGAGTTTGCACCTATTGACATAATCGTCAAATGACTCGGTTGCAGTCTGTTTATACCTCTGTAACCACAGACGTGCAACGCGATAGTTCACGTCAGGATCTAATTGTTCTTTGAATTTTTCCCAGACCTTGACTGGATCTTTGGCATCGTCGTCTGTCAGGTTCCACGAGTTAAAGAGTTATTTTTGACGTCAAAATAAAGTTCACATTGTTGTTTGAAAAGGCTGAATGCTTCGTTAATATTCGCGGCTAACCAGTCCATGCGGGGAGATTCAAAATTAGCCATAATGCGTGTGATACTTTGATCCGATCAACACACACAGCGTGCTGCAGTCAACAATATGCACCACTGTTGTGACTGTGCGTGTGTATGAAAGTACGACGGTACTAACTCGCATCAGCATTCAACACATGCATGTATACAATATACACTCACACAAACAAGCATATGGTAATACAACATAATGGGTCGTCTCAAAAATCTCACCATTACATATCTAGCAACACAACAATCAACAACGTTACTGTTACTGTCAAAGTTACTGTTTGGATGCAACAGCGACTGGTCAGTGGATTGACCAGTTGGTAATGTCCACCTCGACTTCGATATGCCACAGGGTCTACGCACGTAACGCTCCAATCTCCGTGTTTGTGTGCGTCTACACAGTTCTAGGTAGTCCCGATGTAAACAACCCGTAATGACATGGGAGGTATGGTTGTGTTCCGTTGTACGCAAAGACTCGGAAGTGTCTGTTACTCTGAATCTCACTGGCTATGCAAAGAAGAACGTGACACTCTGGGCTGAACTCCGACCCGGATTGGTATAGGGCGCTGATTGGCTCCGTTGTTCGCTACGTCAGCGATCACTGTCTCTCCGCATGACATTGCGCGCCATCTCTTGGATATATGCGGCGAATGTACATGGATACAGTCTGCATGCTTCACAATACATTCGATCCTGTGGTAGAATCTTGGCTGACGTGTCTATCTTGTGGTAAGATTGCTGTCAGTATGCGACGGCTGTCGCTAATAGACAGATCCGACTGTAAAATATACAGATATGTTGGTACTCGTCTGGTACGAGTTGAACCTGCAGCTCTCCCACTCTCTGCATTTTGGCAATGCAAGAAAGAAAATGGCGGGTCTCTTGGCACGTCTGAGCAGGCGAATGTTCAGAAGTTGTTGTTACAACTCATTTGTGCACCGGTTGCTCTAGTCTTTTGCGTCGGGTACGATCACCTGGCTGCCACCATGTAATATATACTCTTGACACATAACACAGGTATATATTCAATGTAATCAATGTTTATTTGACGGACGAGTTTACAGCACAACTTCCACAAGAGCCCATGATCGTGAGAGAGAGGAAGAACCTACTGCGCATGCTCATGCGCATGTACTCGCGTATACCAATGCTAAGCTGTCATATTACAGGCACTATACGATATTTGCTTGGGACAGAGTCAGTAAAAACTGAAAATCTATATATATATATTGAGTTGTTCAGCCGAATTAGTTCGTACTAGGATAACTAGAGAACTCCGCAGCCTAGAGGAAAACCAAAGATATTTTCAGAATCAGCACGTCTGGGAGGTGGTTCTGGCTGAAACCAAAATTTTAAAAACTTAAAAAGTTAAACAAAAAAATCTATCAATCAATAGATGGCGGTCACGTACGTACACACAAAATCACGTACGTCTCAATGAATCCATGGTGTATAATCGTAATGGCGCAGTGGCCTCATCACTACAACGTCCGTCTGCTACACCTGGGTTGCAGGTTCGAGTCCCAGCTGGCAACTTATTTTTTCCATTTTTCCTATTTTTTTTCCTACCTCTTTAGTATGTACTTCTGCAACTTCAGCCAGTACTTCTGCCACTTCAAAATTTTAAACATAAATTTTACTACATAATACATTCATTAAAAAAATAAGAAAAGTTAAACAGTTAAAAATTGCAAACAAATTAATACTTTACTATTCGTCAATAGATGGCGGCAACGTGCGAGTGTGGTAGTATTGTTGGTAAGCACTTATTTCTATCCCTCAAACCGCCCTAGAACCATATCCCAGAAACCACCGCAGCCTACGCCCTACTCCCTAACCCTAACCCTAATCCTAATTAAATTTAATTAACACTAAAAAATTAAATTAAATTAAAAAAAATAAATCATGTAAATAGTTGTGTTAATTGGGAAAAAATAGTTAAATGGATAAAGATTGAAAAATAAAAAAATAAAAAAAATAAACAGATGGGATTCGAACCAACGATCTTCAGAGCTCGGCTATTCAGCGTTATTGGAATAAAATATTATGGATGTGCCATGCATACATGGATGTGCGTGCACTGCGGCGGTTTCTGGGATAGCCTAGACCTAGGGCGGTTTGAGGGATGGAAATAAGTGCTCACCATTATTGTTTGGTAGCAACAACTCAACTATTTCTGCTACAGTCAACATAGTGAACAGGTGAGAACTCAATCTATCAAGCGTACAGGCTGAAGCTTATTAATATAATTATTAGTACTGAAGCTGAAAGTACTGAAAGCTACTCACTGAACTCAGTATAGTGAATACTGAAGCTATAACTCTACTGAACTTCCTACTAGGCTAATTCCTACTAGCTACTTCATTACTACTAGCTAATTCCTACTAGCTAATTCATTAACGCAAGCAACGCGGTTTATATGATTTCAGCAGCATAAATATTGTTACAGTAACATTAGCTTCTGTTCCTCCTGTTGAACCTGTTCTTGGACGTCCTGTTCCTCCAGTGGAACCTAGAGTTCCACTGTAACATTACAGCCTTATACATCCACACATGTACACATTTTTCTAGCAAACCCATTTCACTTCTTTCTTAACAGTAAACAAATTAATCTTTAACCCTCCTCTTGCGGGTCACTGCGCTTTGACCTGTCACCTCCCATTTCGCGCTCATGATGGATTCCCTCCCCATCACTCTATACATCGAATATGAAGAGCCTTTGATTTTATGAAAATGGAGGGGGAAATATTCACCCTCTATTTACACATGTTCACCTTTTACCCTTGAGCCCAAAATTCAACATCATCAGCCAAATTCATCAATAGATGGTGGTGCGTACATGTGAATCCATGGTGTATATATCCTTAACGGCGCAGTGGCCTAATCGCTAGAACATCCATCCCCTACACCGGGATTCCGGGTTCGAGTCCCAGCTGGGGAACTTATTTTCCCTTTTTTTTGTATGTATTATTTTTAATTTTTTACTTTTTAATTTTAATTTTTAATTTTTAATGTCTTATCTTTTGATTTCTTATTATTTTTTACTGTTTGGGATCGGATGGGATGGCATCATGGCATGCGCTGGGATGGGATGGGATGGGATGAGATTGGGTGCAGTGCAATGGGATAGGATGGGATGGGATGGGATGGCATGGCATGGCATGGGATAGCATGCGATGGGATGGGATGGGATGGGATGGGATGGGATGGGATGGGATGGGATGGCATGGCATGGCATGGCATAGCATGGCATGGAATGGGATGGATACATGGATGCATGGATGGATGCATGGATAGATAGATAGTTAGATTTTTTTGGGTATTTTCCTTCCAACCAAGCAGTCACCAACTGAGTAACGACACTGATTTCCCTGGGCAGCGCCGGTTATCCCGCTAGTAAATTAAATAATATGAACGCACATTCACAAATACTACTCCTCAATTTCGCTCATAGGGTCTATATCCCCCAGGGTACTGCCGGAACGTACCCTGGGTACGGTCCGGTTTACCAGAACGTACCCTGGTCACTATTTGATATGGTTAGGGTTAGGATTAGGGTTAGGATTAAGGTTAGGGTTCGGGTTCGGGTTAGGGAGTAGGCGTAGGCGACTCACTAGACTTGTTAGTGGAGTAGGCGAGGTACGGTCCGGCATATTAGATAGTACCAGGGTACGTTCCGGCAGTACCCCGGGGGACATAGACCCTCTCAGCCTTAATTACACTTTCACTGTTGTATCACTGTATATCAACTTGCTTTCACAAAAACTAATGCAGAACTAGATGCTCCCGGACTCGCCGCTGCGAGTGTGCTGTGTCGCCATTATAATGATATATATATCTAATATATATTTTAGTTCGTATGTATGTATGTATGTATGTATGTATGTATGTATGTATGTATGTATGTATCTTCCCTATAGGCGGCCAAACCGCCCAAGCGATCTGGATGGAATTTTTACAGGGCCATCTCTTATACCCGGGGAGTGTTCCTAGACGAAAAAAACCTGTCAAACCGTCAAACTCACCGAAAAATCCGTGCGATTTTGTGTGTGTGTGGCAGCACTGTACAGTCAGTGCTGACAATGTGTGAAGATTGACGAATTGAGGGGTTTTTCACGGATTTTTCGGTGAGTTTGACGGTTTGGCAGGTTTTTTTCAGCTACGAACACTCCCCGGTTATAAGAGATGGCCCTGTGAAAATTGCATCCAGATCGCTTGGGCGGTTTGGCCACCTATAGGGAAGATACATAGATACATAGATACATAGATACATACACACGAACTCAAATATATATTAGACTAGCTGCGGGTACCCGCTGCGCTGGGTAAAATCGTGCTACTAATTCATACTACTAATAATCGGACACAATATAATAGGAACATTGGGTAAAAATCGACAATAACATTGCACAGAATATCAATATTTACAATTTAGCATTGGGAAAAAACTGTCACGTATGACATTTATGTGACAGCACAACCCAACTTAGAACCCCTGGAACATAATAGTAATATGGTGTAAATGAGATAAAGTTATTATAACAGCATGTACGAATGGGTTGCAGTTTTCATTTGAAAACCTCTTGATAAACAATGTTTTTTGTGTTATTCTCTGGTGGAAATATGTAAAGATTCCTGGCGTCTCGAACTGTTGAGCTGCCCACGTACGGCATGTACGTATGGCACGTACGGCACGTAACAGCATGTACGAATGAGTTGCACTTCTCATTTGAAAGCCTCTTGATAAACAATGAGGTCGTAACCTCTGAACTGGTCCTGGCTGTGCTCTGTTTTAGTACTGGTTTCGGTTTCACAATACCAACAGCTGATGAAGCGATGGCAAGAAATAGTCATCGATTTTTCTGTGTGGCAGCACTGTACAGTGAGTACATTGTGTGAAGTTTGACGAATTGACGGGTTTTTATCACTCATTCCATCAGCTACTGGTATTGTGAAACCGAAACCGGTACTAAAACAGAGCACAACCAGGATATATTTATGTGTCAGTGTGCGCGCAATGGCGGCAGCGTGTGTTTACAGTTGAAACGCTTCAAGTGCCTGTGGTTACGACTGCATTGTTTCATCAAGAGGCTTTGAAATGAGAAGTGCAACCCATTCGTACATGCTGTTAGAATAACGTTTTCTTATTTACACCATATTACTATTATGTTCCAGGTGTTCTACGTTGGGTTGTGCTGTCATATGTCATACGTAACCGTTTTTTACCATGCTTATTATCTGATTACACTGATTTGTAAATATTTATAGAGATTAACTATAGTTT